GGAGAAGAGGAGAGAGGGAGAGAGAGAGAGAGAGAGAGATGGAAGGAACGGACAAAATTGCTTTGTTAAAAAAAAAAAAAAAAAGAAGGAAAAGGAGATTGTAAGTGATCAATTTGCATTTGTATAGAAAATGCCACCAAAGATGAGATATTTGCTATATATGTATGTATGGAACTGTGTTGAATTTTCCTCATATTGTTTGAAATAAAAAGGGAAGAAGCATTTTTGAAAAATAAAAAAACAGTTTCTATTTTATATTCTAACAAAAAAAGGGAAAAAATGTTTTGAACAAAGAGAGAGGAAGAGAGAGAAAGGGAAAGAGAAATATTCTTCCTGAAATAGAAGATCGAGGAATAGCAAATAGAAAAAAAAAAGAAGAATGGAACAGTCTAAGATAAGCCTGAAAAATTTAAAATGAACAAAAGAGGAAGATGTGAGAGAGAGAGAGAGAGAGAGGAGAAAAAGTTAGGAAAATGGAAATATTCGAGATAAATAGGACAGAGGAATCAGGTGACTTTATATATGGACTATTAGGATGAAGAGGATAGGAGTTAATTGGAGGAGACATTTCAAAGATGAAAAGAATAAAGTAGGGAAAATAGAGTAAATCTATAATGGGATAAGATTGAGTAATTCAGGATAGATTGACATTATTACATAAATGTGTGTGATTATTTAATTGGTTTGAATAATTTTCCGGAAAAGTTACAATAAAATGAATTTTGAAAATTTAAAATATCAAATAAATTGTTGTAATTACATTTTAAAGAATTATTTTTTAAATTGATGCCATTATGGAATTTTTCTTAATTCTTAAACTTTTTTCATCCTATTTCAGAAAAAAAAAGGAATGAAAAATCATTTTTCAGGTTTTAATGGAACATCTTGTGAATATCGACAACCTAGTAAATGTGATGAAATACCATGTATTCATGGTCGATGTATTTTAACTAAATCATTAGATACATTTCGATGCGAATGTCAAATTGGATTTACAGGTAAAGTCAAATTGGATTTTACAGGGATTTACAGGTATTTTTTCAAAATAACTTCAAAGTAGAATCGTAACATCGAACATGAAGTGGTACCATTTGCAAAAAAAGAAAAAAAAATCGGAAATCGGAAATAGAAGGATTCATTTAGAATTAATTTTTTTCCGACCTATATTTAACTATTCAAATATTATACTCTTAAAAGATAAAAGTATGGTATATTCCATGAAGAGCAAATTTCCCATATTCTCCGATGAGATTTCTTCCCGTTTTCACCAATAGGGGGTCATTCTTGGTATCAACTAAACTTAGAGCATACGGTAGATTTCCCATCTTTTCATGGTAAATCATTTTTCTTTTTTTTCCTCAAATATTTTCGATTCATTCATTCTTAACAAACATATGTTTTCTCATCTTATTTACCTGAAAATTATTTCCTCAAAAAATTCTAACAATAACTTATTGTTGTTTACTTTTTGCAACTGTCATTAGACATATGGGATATATTCTCAGGTATACACTTATTTATACGATATCATCAATGAAATTTTCCATGAATGAACAAATATTCGTTTTCTATAACTTTTTAAAATTTTAATTTTCATAGAAAACATTCCATCAATTCCTTTGCTGATTTCGGACTACCATTGAATAGGAATGAAATTTGTTCTAGTATTCCTTTTTCACATAATTTAATTCAAATTTAATCATTTTAAGGAAAATTAAATCTGAAATTGTCATTGTTTTGAAAAGTTAAACGACAATCTATCTGGCGATAAGTTATAATTCATTTCAGCCATCACAAGATAAATGATTATTTGCTAGGCTTTCGGACTGGTCTTCATTAGGGCTTAAAAGATAAATATTAACAGGGAAAATATAACATACATTTTTGAAAAGTAAATAATAAGTAAAATCTGTACACATAATGGTATTATTTGTCGCGGTGCAAAAGTAAAGTCAACCTGGATAATAAATAGCATTAAAGCTGATTTAAATATTTCTCGCAAATGTTTTAATAAAATTAAAAAAAAAAACTAAATCAATCAAATAATGTTACAGTTACTTTGATCATCCGATACATTGATAATTTTCGTAATTAGCAAATGGATTAGATGAAATTTCAAAATATTTATCGAAATTTTAGCCTTGGTAAAATCATTAAATTTTAAAATTAATCCATCTTTTTTCTTTAACAAATGCGCATTTTGATGGCATCATCATCATCCTCTTTCCCTTCATCATCTTCATTTTGCGCCCAAAATAGCTATGTGAAATGTCAACAATAAATGGAACCGATGATGAAAATCTTTTCTGTTTGCTTCATTCATTTCATCTCTTTCCTTTCCTACGTTGTTCCTTTGAAGATTATTTACCTAAAATGCGGCAATAACTTTGAAATAAACTACAATAAAAAATTTTTGCCAATTAAATTTAAATTAACACCAATAAAATTGCCACATTATTTTTTGTCATTTTCGGACCATTTCAAAAATTTTTCCTCCATTCGAAGAAAGAAAGAAAGAAAAATTATCATTATTAATTACTACTAATTATAAAGAAGCCATTTCGGTAGATAAGGAAAGAATGGAAGAAAGAAGGCGCATTCCTGAAGAATTTTCAATTCATGAAAAATTCATTTTATCAGTTTCAAAATTTTTTCTCCCTTACATTATTTTCTCTCTCTCTCTTTTTCCTTCTCCCTCTCTCTTTCTCTCTCTCTTTCTCTTTCTCATTACAATGTTTATGTCAATTTACCCCCAATTGTTTGTTATTCATATAATGTCCGAATCTTTCAAATTTCTTTTGTCCATTCAATTCAATGGTCATTCAATGAATGGTCTGTGAAGCCAATGATAAAGGATATGAAAAATTGGACAATTTTTTTTTTTACAAAATCATTTTTTTAATTAAATTGATTAAATTTGAAAGGATTTTATCACAGCGAAAATGCTTCATTTTCAAAATTATAACATTCATTCGAAATTTTTTTAAATGAGATCCTTCTTTATTCTTTAATCTTGTAAATGAATGTCCCGAAAGTGTGTTAAAATGGATGAAAATATCAATCATCTGATCGGAATGCTCTCATTCTTTCCGGATTCCTGAATTAGCAATCATTTAATGATGTATATCATCAGTTGATAATGTTGCAATAACCTTTGAACATGATCAGATTTAAATCTTTTCGGCAAGCTATTCGTTCGTTTAATCAAATTAATTAAAGACTCTTCTCGTGCAGATTATTTCCTTTTCCTTTTATCCATTTTAAAATTAATTCTTTCTTCTCTTTCTAATTATTCGAAACTGTCATTAATTTAACAATTCACTGTCACAGTATATGATAGTATATATGTAATAGTTATTCAAATTGGAAACTTTCCAATTAATTAATTAATTAATCAACCGGGAAGATTATATCATTACCCAAAAGGGAGTAGTATCTCCAAACAAATCATTTCTTCAATGTTATTATCATCTATGATTGTATAGTTTATTAATTAAATTAATTGAGATAGAATTTTTTGGAGAGAAAAAAAAATTTCAAGGTGTAATTAATCAGTTTTAGTTAATGAATGAGTGTAATAATAGAATAAATGATAGAATGAATAAATGAATGAATGATTAAATGATTGAATAATTGAATGATTAAATGATTGTTGGTTGGATGGATGGATGGATGGTTGGTTGGAAGTAATGCTTTCATTTTTGATGATAGATATGCTTTGCATTCATGCATGTTGTAATCATCGCTATTATCGTATCAATTTAAAAAAAAAAAATGAACAAAAAAAAAAACTAAAATGATGTGGAATGAAAAAGAGAGAGAGAGAGAGAGAGAGAGAGGAGAGAAAGGGAAAGTAGTTTTTCTCTCTCTCTCTAGAGATAATATAGAAAAAAAAGAAAGCTGTTGATATTTTGATTATT